TCTACATCTGAATTATGTAGGTATAACAGCTATAGTTTTAGTCTTGTTTAAAGGGCTCCACTCATTACAGGCCGACAACACTTTGAGAATGTGGTTTTAACTTAGTATTTCCAAAAAACATGCAGTTTATGTGCCACCTCCCACAAGTCACATACTGTACCTTTAACATGACCAAATAAGAGTAAAAAAAAAAACTAAATGGCAACAGCCTAAATGTAATACACCACTACCCACCGCACACACAAACCCACATCTATTGACCCTCAGCTTCTTAAATCATGGATTTAATATTTTCTAGATCTGCCTTTAATCCCATGACCTTATACTAAATTATACTGTGGTCTAAATGAACCTCATATTCAGGATCACTGCAGCTCTCTTGAATTCTTCACAGACTTATCCTAACACCAATCGTCTGACGCTGGGCTGATCCACTGCTGCCTGGCTCTCCACCCTTTCCTGGGAACGCAGTGGTTTTGGACATCAGCCTCTCGTTCCTGCCGATCCTGCAGCTAAATCACAAATATGTAGCTGGTTTTGGACCAAAGCCTTCACCATGATCCATGCCTCAAGTCAATGCGCTGGATTCACTTATTTATGTCAGGCAACTCCTCCATGTCCCAGGTGGGGGGCAAGACTCTGTCCGTGTGTATGAGTGTTAAAGAGAGTGTTAAGAGCAAAAAAATCATAATTTAGAAGAAGCAGGGTTTGGCGTTGGAGCAGCACAACACAACACTACATTTAAATAATGGCTTCTAATCCTTGTCCGTGGTTTGTTAACATGAACCAGGGTGAATAGTCCATCTGTCAGAATGGCAGTTTCTTCTCCCCAGCATAAATAAAGAGATAAACTCCAGTAAAAACATTACTGACTGTAACAATACACAGGCATCAGGGTCTATAGACTGCAATCCAAAATTCAGTTTCTAGGCTGAACGAATAAACCAAAGGGAGTTGCATTTCACAAAATTTCTAATTTCAATTTCAAGAAATCCCCAAGTCATGATTGTTAAAACTTTTGATCATTTGAAAATGTAAGTAAATATTTTCTCTTATGAATAATTTGGTATTTAAACAACTATTATAGATTTGTTCTTAGTAAAAAGTACAATGATCTAGAAGAGAACATCCTGACAAGTAGTTGTTTGTTTGTTTTCCTGTATGATTTTAAAATGATAGTTATCTGTGTTGACAATTATCATGATAAGAATGTTTTGTTTTTTTGTTTTTTTTCACAATTAGTGATATTATTATGTGTTGTCCAGTCCCTAGACAGGAGTGCATGTCCTGCTGATAAACTCAATAGACACAAGAGACATATATCCAAGTGAAGTTGTCTTGTTACATTTGGTGACTAGTACAGCTTCATTTCACATTAAAAACCTTATGAAATCCATCCATGCAAGAATAAAACCACAACCAGGATTTGAAACTGGGTGGTGTTTGCTTTTGGCAGGGGTGTGACCATGAAAAACTACAACAGTTAGATAAGAATTTTGTTACATTTAGAGCACACATTCAATATAAACTCCACTTTTATTCAAATGAATTTCAAACAAATGGACAAACAACGCAAAGTTAAAAAAGAGACTAAGAAACCTATATGACATACAACCATAAGGTGTACAAAAATATACCCCAAATCATTCAACTTTTAACACCCTGACACAGGTTATATTTGTAAATGTCAGATGCATGCTAGTTCATTTAGTATATTATCTGAACATACTGTTCCTTTCAACAGCATATTTCACAGAGCTATATGTGTATCTGTTGATAATGTGCCACCAAAGTTATTCCCTAGCACTGAAATGTCACTGCTGAATTAAAGTGACTTATTTTCCTCGAAGCTGTTTCACAGCGTTTAGTGCCCCAGGATTTAACAGCGCGTAAGCTGACAAGTGAGCCTAATCTTTTGTGGATGCTTCCATGTGTTCATATATCAATCTATATCTTAAATCAATGTCACCCTCTCTGAATGAAATTGCAGGCAAGTGTATTCATGCCTTTTTAAAACGGGGCTGAGATTTTCTTTTTAGTACTTAGGGGCAGGTTGTACTTCATGTTTTTAGGGTGTGATGGTTTGAGTGACACTTTGGCAGAACAGAGCATGCTGATTGACAGCAGAGGTCATGTTGATCTGTATTTAAGAACTACTGTTTACTGTGCGAGTGGTCATTATATAATTAACCATTTTGTCACGCAAGATCTCTTAATTTCAACTTTCAACAGGTTTCCTGGTGTGACAGTGATGACATTGAACTTGTATTTCCACCATAGGGTGGTGGCTTAGGGCCAGAGTGTGAAATGACTGTTATTACGAAATTACACTAAAGGTATTTATTACAGTCTGAACTGTTGTGTTCATCTCATGTTGTGGATGTGCTTATGTTGTGTAAACATGTGCATGTAGTGTGAACAGAAAAGCTTTTTTAGATTTACTGGGATGGGAGACCACTGCATACTGTCATGTCCTTAGGCAAGACAATTGACTCACTTCACCTAGTATGAATATGATGTGAGTGAGTAATTGGTGGTGGTCAGAGGGCAGATGGTGCAGATTGGCCATCTTGCTTCTGTCAGTCTGCCCCAGGGCAGCTGTGGCAGCACTAGGATCTTACATCATCCTGCTGTTATGCATCTTACGTCTGTCATGTCAAATAGAACATACATTTGTAGCTGGCAGTGCATTTATGCATACACTTGAAATACACAGTCTGAATGTGTGATGGTGCATACCCTTCCCCCTCTCTGTACTGTCTCTATCATCCATTAAGGGCAAAAGGCACAAATCCTATAATAGAGGTATTATAGACATGTTTGACCCTTATTCATGCACATTTTGTTTAGTCTGTGTTCTCATAAGTAGATTATAGCTCAGCATGGTGAGTGTAGGCTCAGTTCTATTCTTCCATATCATTGTGCAGCATAAGGGACTATTTTAACCACTTTGTCTGATGAGTGAAGTTAGCATTTCGTCTTCTGTGTCAGTTGAAATTGAGCCGTTATAAACAGCATTCCTTTGCATCATATTGAGTTTCAAAAAACCACTTGCTCATCCTGCGCTCAAGTCTAATCTAGTGGCAGTAGTCAGACCAACCCAACCAGGAGCTGGAGCCAGCTCTTCCGTGCGCTTCTGTGATTACTTGCACCACTTACCGGCGCGCTACACGTCTGTCTCCACTCGCCATACACACATATGTATACAAAACTAAGACTTCAAAGCCCCACGTTCATTACCACGCACAGGATAAACATAGAGAGCCCTGCAGATGGTTAGTGCTGGAATACTGGCTTCTCTGTACGCGGATGTTTGCATGTGTTTTAGTGAATGAACTTGGCCAAAATGCGTGTGTCTGTGATGTTTCTTTCCATGCAGAACCAAGTGGAGTTGACCGGAGGATTTCCAAAAGGCAGGCCTCATTCACACATGTAGGACATTTTAAAGTAAACTCCACATTTGTTATTCTGCTTTAGGAAATTGTTTAATATGTTATCAACAAAAAGATTCCTTAAATTACTTTTTCAATAAACTATTCAGGACACTGTGTAAAATACAGTAAGAATGCATTGTTCCATGTAAACTCAGTTTCAGAGCTTGGTCTGGAATAGAGGATTGTCTTAAAGCTGTACTAACCATCTGCTTATTGCCACAGTAAGGCTTTAAACCTATTTATCTTTAGTTATCATACTGTGGACAACACATACTGTACATTTAAGTTGCATGTTGCATTGGTAATTGAAATCAGAACACTATCAACAAATTATGTACCGAAGTCGAAAACATTGGGAATCAAACCCAGGGCCTTCTTGATGTGAGGCAAGAAAACTAACCACTCACCCACCGTGTCAGCAGTCAGTTCATTTGAATGTCATCTTATATTTACTGTAAATTATTTGGCTGGATAATCAAATTATTTCATTTTCAATGTTCTCAAATGGAACTGGTGTAAAAATTCAGGTACAGTAAAAGTGATATTCTTATGTGAACGTTATCTGCTCATAAGATTTGCAGAGCCCTGGGTTTTACACAGTGTCCTTTTTCAGAATGGGGTCGTAACATTTGGGTTTATTGGTGACGGTTTACGGGCATATCCATGACTCTCCTGAAGCTTCTCCATATTATTCCAGGGCAACAGCAGGTTAATCCAAACCAGGTGGGCCCTCCTTGTATATCCCATTTGATTGACAGTGAGTTTTGGTGGTGAATATGGACTGTAACTTTCCAAGATCCGGGTCAAGATTGAAATGCGACCATTCACAAACTGCTTTCTTTGGCCACAACAGAGTGAACATTCCCATTCACCTGAAACTACTCTTAATGTGTATGTGTGCGGACGTGTGCCCAAGTGGATCTGGATTGTGTCTCGTCGTACATGTGGTTAACTGGCCCTAACGGTTAAACAGGGCTCCAAGCCACCCATTATCCCAGATCCCGAGTCTATTCTGAGGAGGTTGGAAATAGTCACAAGAAACGCTGTAGTGATTTTAACCATGAACTAAATGGAATTTGCATTGCCAACACCAGTATTTGCAAAACAAAACTACTTTAAATCATAATTTAAGATTTGATGACTATTTTTAAAGATATATATTTAGATTTTTCTTTTTCACTGAATGACAATTTGTCTCATGTGACCGTGGCATATTAAGTGCGTTCTAACTTGCCCACCACACACCACATTTGAAGTATATTGGGAATATACTGGGAATATGCCTGGAACTGAACCTGGACTAGACCAGGACTGCAGGGCAGGAACAAGTCTACATCAGGACTAAACCTGTCTCAAACCAGGACCAAACCAAAATAAGTATAGACGCACCATTCGACATGGTAAACTCTTGAAGTTGCTTTTCCTGAAACCACTTATTTTTCTTTGAAAAAATTTAACCCTGGTGCCGTGAATATTTAAAAATATAAATCAGGACTAACCACTTAACAAGCAGCCGCACTGATATGACAATGTTTTGCTGAACAAAGTTAGATATGATGGAGAATGTTTTGTTGTTTCGTTTTATTGTTCCATTTTACAGCATTACTACTTTAATATGGACACAATGTGACTTGTGCAATGCATATATGCACAGATTGAAAATAAAATATATCAAATAATATCACTATCTCTTTGTATCAGTACATTAGAACAAAATGCCAATGCAATGACCGGTCCATTCCTTTGTACTTGATCACAGAAAAGTACAACGGGCAAGATTCAAAACACATTATAGTGCCCCTTTATGTTGAAACAATTGAAAGAAAACATATGGGCTTTACGTTGAGGTAAGAGGTAAATGTACTTCTAATACCAGCAAACATTATAAGCATTTGCAGATAAGATAACGTTCCTCTTAAAGCAGATGCATTGATTTGTCCTTGTTTAGGCATCTAAACCAGTTCCACATGTACCCAACGCCAAAATAATACTGTTTTCCATTTGTAGCACATAAGCCAGATTTAAAAATACATTTAAATATGTTTCCAAGAAGTTAAATTACACCCACTAACCATTTTTAAAGATCCAGTTCTGGTGCGAGGTTTGAGTTTCACTTATGCAACTCTTATTTCGGTGTCTAAACCCATAAACACAATGCTAAGCCGAGCACTCTTTTCGCTGGCAGCCATCTTGGTAAGGTTAAAAGAATACGACACCCAAAGTGACACAGGGATTACTTGTTCTATATTTAGTGTTTATGTACATGAGTATTGGCAGGACAGCTCTGTACACGTGACGCACACACACACAGCGATATAATAACATCTCCAGCACAGAAAAAAACATTTACATGTGGGCTGAGATACGACAGGGGAATGTCTCCAAAAAACTGGAATATCATTGTTATCATCAATAAAAACAGACAAAAATAAAAAGTACAAAATAATTTAAATTCCACCTAAAACATGAAAGTGTGTTGCGAGGTCTATACAACGCAGGTAGCTACTGTATCTCCCTTCAGGTATGACGGACAAAAGCGTATGTCATGCAGCAAACAAAGAAACACGTCGGTGAAAAATGATCTCCGTTTTGAAGTCCCCCGGTGGCAACGTGATGTCATTACAACAAGTCTGGTCACACATAGCGTCTTTGTATGTTCCACCCAGACCAACAACGCCACTGTCCCATTGTAAACATAAATATACACAATATAGTCACTGCCACAGGCCCATCAGCTGTGTGAGTAGTCAAGTCTGTATACACTCCTTAGTAGAATATCACTTTGAGTTAAATAAACTTATTTAATATATTTATAATAGATTTATCTTTGCAGAGTCATTTTAGCAGTACTTCCGTGTTTTCACCAGTTTGCTTTGATATTTGACCGAGTGGCCGCTATGTGCCACTACGTAAACGTCCAGCAGGTAGGTCTTGCCCGGTTCTAGTCCAGTAATGGTTTCCGTGGTGACCGCCTTCTGCAAGTTCGGACTATGGAAATACTTGCATAGGACTTTTTCGGACTTCCTACGCGTTTCTGGCCCAGCGCACTGGTTCTGCTCCCTCCTCCTCTGCTCCTCTCCGTAATTTTCGGCTACCTCTTTCCGATAGATGCAGTATTTGTTCCTGTCCTGAGTGCCGAGCCAGGCCACCGTTGCGGAGGAGCAGGTGCGCAGTTTGTCAAAAGCCTTGATCCTCGTGTCTTCTGGGAGTGAGGGGAACGGTTGCTTGCTGCTTGGTTTTGTAGTGGCCAGTACTTTAAGAGTTGATGCACCCTTCCTGCTGCCTCTAAGTCTGATCAGATACTTTGCTTTAGGCTTTCCTCTGAGCTGAAACTGCCGAACCCCTTCCACGTTTTGGGACAGCAGAAGTTTCCCGTCTCGCCTCACTTGAACTTGTACAGTGTCTAGACAAGCGTGGACAAACAGTGTAACCCTCTGGTGGGACGACACAGGGGCAAAGCGAAGGAACTTGCTGCCCTTTCTTTTGATAAAAACATCCGTAACTTTACCATCTTTCAGCTCGACTGTCTTCTGGCGTGCTTCTTCTTTGGTTCTGGCAAAGGTTCCGACATATGCTGTACTAGTATTGGTAGCTGAGTTGACAGCAAAGACGTCAAAATAGTATTGTGTGTCTGGCTTTAGGTCCGCAACAGTGAAAATGTTCTTATTTCCGATGCACACTTTTTGGATGTCGGATTGTTTTGGCTTCACTGTGTACGCACGGGAGATCTTGTTACTAGTCAGTCCTCTGTCTTTCCCAAATCCGTTCGAAGGGAAACCAAAATGTGCAAAGTCAAACGGACTGAAATCTCTTCCTGGTTTGGGAGCTAACATAAATGCATCATCAGCGCTAATTTTAGCTTCTGCGGCGCACATGCTCTTAAAGTTATGCTCCTTGTTGATGACGACACAGTACTGGACAGGTTGTCCCATGAGGAAGCCAGTCGGGGTGGGTTTCCAGGCTAAGGTCACAGTGGTACGTCCCAGAGCGGTAACATCCACACGGGGGTCGTAGGGCAGCTCGGGGTACGGCTGGTCCGATTCAGGAGTGGTGGTTGCGTACACTTTGAAGTTGCTGTCCTTCTCAGTAGAGAGGATCTCCAGTTGGTACAGGCCCGAGGGGGAGCTGGTGGCCACATATGACTCCACATCGTTCCCTTTGTACGTGAAGAGCTCTGTGCCCTCATCCACGGTCACCTGCTGCTTCTGCTGGTCCAGCGGCTCAGGCTCACCTGCAACACACAGGGACAACAAAGTTAGGCTGGGACTGCAAAATTTAATTTATAGTAGCTTTTTATTACATAAAAATGTTGTTCTGTTTTATTTGTTATTTTATATCCAGTGGAAGTTACACAAAAGTCTTTGTTTCTACTTTGTAGTGTGTACCATAAGTGACTGGGCACGCTTTTTTATCAAAGCACAAGAAGTAGTCTTAAGTGTGATGTGTTGACTCTTTGATAGAGTTCACAACCTTTGTAGTCATTAGTTGTGTTTGCAAGAATTTGAAACAAATGACTCAGATGTCACACAAACCACCTCCTGTGAGAGAAAAAATATTTGGGTGAAATGTAAGATTTTGTACTGTTTTCTATAAACAGTCTTAAATGTGATCCTTGTGATAGAAATGTTTTCGGGAGTGTATGTATATTGTCTTGAGTGTCGACACTTTAAGTGGCTAATGTGTTGATGCTGAAGGTCAGGGTGAAGCTCTGTAAGCCTTATGGACGATTAGCCCTTCACATGGCAGCCATGTTTTCAATGCAAATATCCCCAAAGATCACAGGCCAGTATTCACGGTAGGGCTACACAGAGACGCCTTGTCCCTCCTCCATATGAGAGACAGTTTCTGCTCTTACACCAGCCTCGGAAAGAAGTCATAATATTATGTTTGTCAACCAGAGTGTGCACTGTGGTGTACTGAAAATTAAAGCCCCAAGATCAGCTCCCTAAAGAGACACACAGTCACAGAGCTCAAAAAGCAGGAAGGAGTTAGCTAGCTTAACTTTTAATGCCAGGCCTACAGGTTAGCACGTGCCGTGCTCCAAGTTATCATTATGTGTCTCTGTTTCTTTAGAGGTGTTAACAGCCCAATAAATCATCTGTTATATTTGATCTGACAGGAGCAGAGAGAGACACAGGTGCCCTCATATTCACATTCAAATATAAGCACTCTTATGTTGGAACCTCAGTGTTGGACCTCAGGAATTTGCAGAGCTAAAAGGACACACACCAGATGGATAAAGTTTCTGATGTGGTGAAAAAAGAGGACACAGGCATTCAGTGGAAAAGATGTAAGAAAAAAGGAAGAGAGGAATTAGAACTGGATGTACCTGAGGAAGACAAAGACAGCTTAACTAAAGGGAGCAATGCTTTGATTCAATGACTGAAGCTCTTTTCTAAATTATAGGCGTGAGGGCGACTTGGGCAGACTTCATAAGTGGTCGGAGCAGACACTACGACTGACTTAATTAAAACCTATGGAAACGCCAGGCCTAACATCACTCTGGGGTAACTGAGCGCGTGTGGGGGCAGTGGCTACATGCTCCTGACATGTCATTACACCACTGCTTCTCAAAATGCGGTGCGTAAGTTTAGGTTCTGGTTAAACTCCACTGAAATCCTACTTGACAGTTACTTAGACAAACTTTTGACTTTAACTTAAGATGTAATAATGACAAATTAGTATTGAGCTGATCTAAAAATCTTATTTACACTGTAGCCTATATATAAATGGACACGCTAGCCGCCGCTTTCCAAAAAGAAAGTGACCATGGGGGACCTTGCAGCTCCATTGACTCTGGCTTCAATTGACTTTAAAATGAAAAACTGTGATCCCTCACTCTGTAACTGTTGCAGTGAGCTTTGGCATTTTGGTCTTAAAATGTTCATACTAACCCACTCTACATCTCCGTGGTGTTTTTATTTCACTATTTTGTCCATGAATATATACCTATTCCTAATAATTAACTGAGCAACAAATTGGCCCCTATAAATGCTAACATCATGAGCTTCATTTGGCTGGAGCTGACCCTACACTCACTCCACTTCTTTACAGTCTATGGGAGAGCATGACTTGACAGGGCAAGATTGTTAGTTTTAATTTTTTTCTGAGTCAGCCTGTATTGTTCAAACTGTAGATTTGAGGTATTTGTGGTGGCTCATATCTTGAAATGTACTTGTACCTGATGCCTCTCCACTGGCCTCTTCTGGCAGCTCCTGCAGCACCAGCTTCCACTCCAAGGGCGCATCACATGGAGTCACGGTCACAGACAGGGGAGTGTTGTCCTCTTCCACCACAAAATAGTACCTACATAAACAAATACAGTCAGAAGTCAGCAAAATGCATCATAGTTTAATACTAAACTAAGTAATACATTAGCTAAATAGGAGCACTGCTGCTGACCTTGGCCTGGAGCTGACAGACACTCTGTTACCACGACTACTTTCTCATCAATTATTCAGCTTTCTGCATCAACGCACGGCTCGTGTTACATTGCTGTTTTTACAGTAAGTGCCGATCAGCAAGTTTATCAGTATCCTTGAGCTGGGATTGAATAACCACAAAAGTAAAACTGCTACATGAATTAGCTTTTACATTGACTACCTTTGAAATCACAGACAGAATTGTATAAATTGCATCAGCAGTTTGCCCAAATGGCCAAGGCAAATCATCTTTTATGTGTATGTTTTTTTGTCTGTTTGTTTCTTTTGCTTTTTACCAGATCAAATCCTCCAGGGTAATAGTAATAATTTTTTGTGCCCTAGTTCTTCTTATCATTTGTATATCTAAGATAATCCTAAATACTTGGCGCAGGACATAGAAGTATAGATGGTATAGAGTAGAATGTCACCTTTTGGGCGTGTCCCTGAACAGGTATCCACTGATTTCCGCTCCATCAGGGATCACAGATGAGTCGTGGAACAGGGACTTGTCCCTGATCTGCATCTGGAACAGGCCCTCATCCCGCGTGGGCAGCTTCTGTCCTACTGCTCCCAGAACCAACAGCACCGGCAGCACCCAGCTCCAGCCTCTGCACTGCCTCATTCTGAGGACACACAACAATACAGCTGGTCAATGTTGGGGTCCACTCAAATGTTTCAGATTTCTTGTTCACTTGAGAATCACTGGGCAAAATTCTCAGAAGAGAAATTATGACCTTGTCAATTCATACCTGTCATATATTGCTTTTCATTTTGATTGCATAATTAATAATAGCATAGTTTATATTATATTTAGGGTACAATCTAATCCTACTCTTACTGGCTTTTTCTAAACAGTCACCTGTTCTTCACTGCATCTAAATATTCACCCTAGATAACCTTGTTACTGCCACCACAGTTTATCCAGAAAATAAAATAAAAAAAACTATAATTTTCAAATTATCACTATTTTGGACCATGTTAAGAAATGTGAAATCATCTGAAACAGCAGCTGGCAAATATAATTGTTTCCTAGTGGATTTGAACGCTTTTTACAATACCACTTCCTCAAAGAGCTTTCACCTTAAAGCTCCCTGTTGCAGTGATTAACAGTACATTAAACGTGTCTGGGAACACGCTCTCCATCTGTGCTGCTGTGAGCGACTAAGAGCAGAGTGGATGAGAACCGCAGGCAGGCCACATCCAGGCCGGAGCAAGGATTAGATTAAAACACACATGTGTGAAGGAAAAGACATTAGAGACCACAGCATTTGATTTCAAAATCCTCAAATCTGTGTCATTCACTTTTATTGTGGAAGTGTTAGTCTTCTAATCTGGCCTTCAGCCCTGACCATGGCTCTCACGGATCCACTGTCTATTGATTTCAGCTCATTGATTGTAGCTGATGGGAACGGCAAATCCCCCGTGATTTAATCAGCGTAATGATGGCAGATTAGCCTGATACTTTACTGCCGTTTGGAGCTTTGGAGCTCTGGTGTCCTCTTAACGACCCCTCCGCTGCTGCTGCTCTGTGCTTAGCCCCTTTTGTCTGTCCATTATCACGTTTTCTCAGCAACAAGTAATCTCTTTTCTCCTTCACACTTGTCCACACATACACACGCACACACACACCTACACACACACAGCCTAGCCCCTTTGGCTCTCAGGACATCCTAAAACAGTGCCACTGAGTAAAACCAGAGCTGTGTGATTAAACATAGAGTAATTTATTCATTTACTAGCCCGAGCAGAACAACTGAAAATACAATAATTTTATCTATTTGTTGTAGTTTTCTTGCTGTATTCACCCTTCAGACTCACATCAGGCTCTCGCAACAATGCACACAGACACTGGAGGTGTGGTGGTTGAAGTGCTTTGCCCAAAGACACAACTACAGAACACAATGCTAGAGTGCATTACTGCAAATTAGGTTTAAAGGTTTAACTATGTAACATTTCTGATGGAGAGTTTGATCCCTCCTGTTGCCAGGTCAAAAGCAAAACCCAATAACAGTGGCAAACAGAGCAACTTTAATATTCTGGATACAGGGGCATTTTGCTTAACAACCCGACAGCAGAATGCACATGGCAGGGATCAATCCATCAAAACTTTGTTAATTTATCTGGTATGTCCTCGTAATTGCAATTCTGGCTTTGGATCAGCACAAACTTGCCAGTATATAAAATCATGAGAAACTACATGTTTGTGGCTATAGTTAACACAGTAGTCTGGAGAGGCTTGTGTTTTTGTGTGTCCATTTGTGTGTGCGTCCAATTGCGCTGCCACACTTCACAACACTAGAGGAAAGCCTGAGCTACTTTGAGCCACTTTGAGGTTTTGACTCACACAGAGAGAGAAGATCCTTATCACTCTGACTTGTCTCATTCCACTTCACAAGCGTGTCACCCTGAACAAAGACATGTCTATTAATACTGGGGACAGCTCTGAGGTGGTGCGTTCAGGGCTGTTTGTCATTCCCACATCTCTTAAACACTTTGTAGACACGGAGAGCCCCGCCCCGCGCTGGTGCCACTCCACATTACGCAGACAGTAACAGTTAGCTTAGCACGTCTGCGGGTCACGACAGAACCACCTCTAATCAAGATCAAAATCAGCTTTTACTCGTTTATACAAACAAATCATCACAAGTCTTTCAAAGGTTTGTGTTATAGTTTTGGATAGCAATACGCAATCACTTACACCAACAAAAACAAGGGGAAAAAATCTATGTTTTTGTGGAGTGTCTTGATGCTTTTTCCTGTTGTTCCTTAATGATAATATGTAAACCAAGACTGGCAATTGATGAAAGTTCAAGTCTTGAATGCACCAATGTAGCTTTTTCGATGCCAATACCGATTCCGATACTATTAAAATATTTGGCAATACTCAATATCAACCGATACCAGTGCATCAAGTAAAAGAATGTATTTATTTCCTTAAAACAGAAATGAAATAAGACAAAACTGATCCATGTGTTGAGCAGCTGTTATTTATCCCTCAAGAAAATACAGAAAAACTTTGTATAAATAAAATTATGAGACTTTCTGGGCCAACTAGGATCAGTAATAGTTTATAACATCAATTTATATCTCCAACCGGGATATCGGCTAAAACTGATATTTGGAAGCCGATATCTGTTTCAGCAAATTTTTCAATATTAGTGCCGATATCCAATACCAGTATCGGATTGGTGCATCCTTAGTTTTTCTGATTAACTGAATAATCATATCTAATTGTAGGTAGGGACTAAAAGTTTTTTATGATATGCAAAGTCAGATTTCTTGTGGAAAAAAAAAAACCATGGAGAGGTAAATGGATATCAAAGAAGTATGCAATCAAAGAAGTTTGGAAAGATAGATACAAAAAAGGCAAACGATATTTAGGATTAAATAACAACAGTGTAATAACGTGTTAACAAAATAATACTTGGGGTTGGCCTATGACCATATAATGATGACTGAAATTACTGCTTAAGCACAGCTGAGATCCTTCAACTTTAACGGCTACAGAAATCGTGGTTTGTGTAGCCTGGTTCTGCACACTACTAAGATTTTCTAATGTATTTTGATGAACTTGTCTTTTCCCATGTTTCCTAAATGCAGTCCAATATTTATCATGAGAAGCATTCAAAACCAACCATATACTCACGTTTGATTTACAGCTCTAAACCTTTACCGTGCCCTCTCATCCACACCACATGACACTGCTCTGTATCTCTCCCACACGCTCCCATATCCCACAATGCACCACTCACAGATGACATGTGCCTGTTAGAGCCGCTGTCCCGGGTTGCTGCGGTTTCACAGAGCTGCACACAGTCAACATGGTCACACGCTGGCCCTGCTTTTTTTACATACGTCCCTGACTCTCATAGCGTACCGCTCCTTTACCAAAATAACACTTCAAAACGCCGCATATGGAACAAATAAAGCCCATGTTTAATTAGAAAGAGCAGGAATGTACAGCGGCAATTTGAGGAGGGATAATTTAAAGGCAAGGTCACCCGCAAAAATGGTGTCAACGTTGTTTATTTATACGTGCAAAGGTTTTCGTATCACTTTTACTCATTGGTGGGAAACTTTATGTTGCCTATAGTTGATTACAATGGAAAAGCACTGGTGAATGTTTTTCTAAATGCTGTTTTAATGTCCAACAGTGAACTAATCAGCTTCGCCCATTATAATGAAGTCATGGCTTTCTTTCAAGTGATGTTTGACTATAACAGTTTTGACCCTGTCTGCTTTCCAAGTGATTACATGGCTAATGGGAAACCAAGTGCTAAGCCAAAGCTATCACTGCGCACTATCGGTACATCTTCTGGATCCCACCCACAAAAATCAAACTAGCAATATGTGCTTTTTGGAAGAGACCAAGAAATAAACAAACAGCGTGAGTCCAGGGAGTCTTAATAAACCACACAATTACACAATATTGCACAAAAGCCTTTTCAAATATTGTTAACTGCAGATAATTAAGAGTTGCTTGGTGGTTTCTTACATAGGTATAGGAATATTACTAAACAAAGGCAATCCAAACCAAACCAGGTCTTGAATTTGGTTTCTATAAAATAATATTATGACTAAATGAATACCACATTTTGTTACATATGAAATAAATCCCGTATTTAAGATATCGCTAGCCTCAAAAGCTGTTCAGCCAACACAGCTTGCACGTTGTCAACCACTTTTCCACGCTACACATTCCCCACACAGAACATGCAAACACGAACTATTGTTATTGATCTTTGTGAGCTGGGTCTCTTCAGTGTGCAGATATTCACATGTTTTTTGTAACTTTTACACCAGACGCTCTCCCAGATGCAACCTTCTAAACTAGGGACGCACCGACTTTTCCAGTTCTGATACCGATTCCAGTACTATTGCTTTAAGTATCTGCCAATGCCCAACATTAGAGAGACTGGAAGCAGCATTTATCTCCATTAAACAAAATAAAAATAAGACAGAAGTGATCCAAATGTGTTATGTAGCTGTTATTTATCTCTCAAGTAACTGCAGAACAGTTTTTGTAAATAAAAGTTCAAACATTATTAAACTTTCTGAGACAACTACAACCAGTAAATAATCTTATTGCATCAATTTATTTGTCCAACCAGGATATCGCTGCAACGATATTTGGAAACCGATATCCAATCCAGCAAATTTTTCCATTTCTGTGTCGATATCCGATACTAGTATTGAAATATTTCTTCAAAATACACTATATAATTCAATTTATGGAGGTGTTTATCAGTGAAAACACAGATCATGTACTATAAAGCTTCTCTTGATCTGTTCGCGTGTGTGCATAAATCTCCCCTGACCTCTCCTTCCTCCACTCTCTCTTCTCTCTTCTTCAGCTCCTTGTCAAAACCCATAAGACTCCTGTAAGACCGCCACATGGTGCTCATTAGCAACAACACAGACGCATCAAAGACAGTTTAATTTCAACACAAATACAGAGAGATTCCTCCGGACCAGACGCCAAGAAATCTTAACTCCTGTGTGACGATTTATGATAGGGGCTTCCTTATTGCTCTCAATCACTGCTGTCACTTCCTGAGCCAACATTTAGTCTAACACTTTGTAGATAAAACTGGGATCATGATATGGAAAGATATAGGACTACTTGGACTTGTTTGGGGCAGGTTTTGGTGCTCTTGGATGGCTAAAACAGGCCATTAATGCGTTGGTAGGAGCAGTGGTAAAGGGCTAGCAGCCAAATGTTGAAGGCTTTGTATCTGGTATGTTCATATATGAGAGTATGTGAGTTTAAATTATCTGTCTCCTGGCCATCCACAACATCATTCACAGTCTCAGCACTAGCAGGAAAACTGGCACAAGATGCACAATGGAAGAAAAAGGCCAGTTTCCTTTGCCACTCAATTGGAACTTCTACCTTCCTAGTATTTCTGAAAGATGTGAGGCTGCATTTACTCTGACAGCAAGAATGAACTGGTGGTAGTAGTAGAAATGCCATGCAAGCTTCTGTTGGTCAACTGGTTTCTATATCTTATTATCATTGAATCACTGAAAGCAAGGGTGCCTTATTTTGCTATTCTGGAAGTTGTAAGAGCAAATAAGAGAGCTATTAGAGTCTAAGTACTATAATAAGTACTTATTTAAAGTTAAAAGCCAAATGTGCCCATATTAAAGAGACTCAAGATTGCTGTTAATGGCTGGCTGGTTTGGTAATGGCAACATATGATGTTTTATTTCAAAACTGTCAAAGAAATGAACTAAAATGTAGAAAAGTTTTATTTTTAACAATGTCAGACATATATAAAATGAACTTTTATGAGCTTTTAACCATGCTACATTGGTGTTCCCTCATCAATAACTTGGACAAACTTGTATTTCAATATACATATGTTTGACTAATTGAGCATTGTCCTGCATTTAAGTGTTCAAAAAAAATTTTACACCTATCACCTATGTCTACCTGCATCTTTTTACTTACTTGCAATTATTAATAAAATTCAGGAAATGTCACATAGCCATTTTTAACTATAAAAACAGGTCAAGGAAAATCCAAATGCTTAAAACTTCACTCTAGGCCAGCTCTCTCAGATCTCCACTTTTGAACAGGATGGACCTGTTTCTGAAGCCATTTTAGATCAGTGTTGAAGATTATGATTAGCAAAATGTAAAATAAAGATCTACATTATGTTACCAGAAAAAAACAAATATGTCTTGTTTAGTTGATAAAAGTAAGTAAAAGAAAGAAAGAACTTGCCCCAGGTTAAACAGTCCATTAGAAACAACCTGACATTATATAACTACAGAACAAGTACAGAACATGAGCGCTTTGTTTAATAATATTATGTGTTTAAATTTGGCAGAGCGCGCCTTTAATGAAAATCACTTAAAACAATTGTCCACTTTCCATTCTCCCCGCTGCTGTGCGTGCCTCCACTACACTGTCTCGTTGTCTCTTTCAAATGCGGGTCACTTGAGGACCTCCAAACTGGAATCTAATCTTGTCAATGTAAAGCTAAACTAATGAATCTGAATTGACCACTAATTGTGTTGTAAATGTAACCCAAGAGCAAGGGTCAAGTCCGATTCGCTTCCTGCTTCTGAAAACTGCTCCTTTTTTAAAAAACAGTGCGGGGGGCGTTCCTGACTTATGCGCTGGTCCATTGTGGTCGCTGGGGGAGATTATAGATTAGGAAAAGCAAATGGCCCATGGGAAAGTCACCCACCCACTGCCCGTCATCAGGGGCACAGGGAGAGAAGAAGGCACTGGGATGGGCTGTCCCGGCTGGTGGGAAAGAAACAGTCCCATTTGGGGATAGGATGTTTGTGAGGTGTCCTGTATAATGAGGGAGGTTGTATGAGGGAAGAATTTGAAACGCAAGAGGCAACTTTTTAGACACGAGATCACGTTTTAAACTAAGAAAATACACTGCTATTTTTTATAATCATTACGTGGTCTGTTCAAATGATTCCAACACCGAGATAAAACAAGTGATGCAGAGGTGAAATAGAGAAGTTAAAAATAAACATCTAAACCAAAACGCATTCTGGGTAAAATTAGATCTAAAGGAGGAAAAACCTCAGACTAATCAAAACCACAACTGAAACAAACAGGATCTCGTATTAAGTCAGGAGGATTAAACTTGTTCCAAACCAGAATTGAACTAACCAAGGTTTAAACTAGATCTAAAGATGAACTAAACCAGCTTTCAAACTCCCATAACCAAATCAAAACAAAAATAACAAAAGTCCCACCAGTAATACCTGCCCACTGGTTGAGATAAGCTCCAGTTTGGACAGTGATACTGCACACTGCACTCAGCTCCAGTCTTGTCAGTGACATTGGTGGGGACGCGGAAAGGCTACAGCCACACAGAGCTGTATTCTTTCAGCTTGGAGTTTTCATATGCAAATGACGGTTTAGTTACGGTATGCAACGCTTCCCATTTTCTGAGACTTTTTCCTTGTTTTTTTGTTGTTGTTGTTCATGATTCATTCTCCTGGGAAAGCGGCTGCAGTGTGATGTGTGGCTTTGCTAAATACAGTTATTCCAGATCCCTCAAAAGGCTGAGCATGTCTTTCATTAAAAAACACCAACTCCCAAAATGAGCCAAAGCGCATCTATCTCACTCTGATCACTTTAACCAGTGTGGTGAAGTCAAGGACACTCCACTCATATACACCCCTGCCTCTGTCACAGGTGCCTGCAACTGCTCTCCATAGTTGGACATAAACCTCTGAAATCATCACTTAAGAGGCCTGTCTGTGTTAAGTTCAATATTATATATATATATATATATATATATATATATATATATATATATATATATATATATATATATATATATATATATATATATATAGTTTAGAAGCATAGGATTGTCATTGGGTTTTCGAGCTGGAAATGCATGAGGAATTTTAGGTTCTACTGTATATGTTGCTTTAAGTCACTGCAGTGGTCAATAGCTGGTGTCAGTATGTTTCTAAAGTGAGTAAATAACACTTATTTGTAAGAGGTATGAGTGTATTACCATGTAATCTGTACTACTGTGTACACAAGTTTTTTTTCACTCATTATACTTGTGGGAAATATTGAGTGAGATAACATGGGAGTTACTTATGTTGAGCGTTTGAAAGGGAATTTGCCATTCACAGCTGGAGTCTGAACACTTAGTCCCGGTTCCACTGCTCTCCTACCGAAATACAAACTGTCCTGACAACTAATACTCCTTATACATAATCTAGAAGAATCATATACAAGCAATCAATATCTGAAAAAGGCGTGATTACACAAGACATGTATGAAAACAATTTGGAAAGTCACGTCTAATGAGCGCTATTACAGGTGCGCACAGGACGCATGCCAACTTGGCTAAAAAAATACATTACAGTAGCGCACACGACTTTAATATGAAAAAAATCGTACTAATATCTCAAGCGTGGTTGGAAATAGAACCAAAAACATAAAATTCAGCCAAAATACATAACGTCATGCGAGTTGAAACGTGATTGAAAAGCATTTAAAACTTTCCAGAGCTTGACAAAAACCACAAAAGCCTCATCCTCTTCTGCTCCTCTTCTCGCATGGTTCAGTTTTTGGCAGAAAATTCAAAGCCAATCCGCCACTGTGCAATTATTACGCTATAAACTTAAGCCTATGAAACGCTTTGAAAAGTTGCTCTATGGGGAAACAAAACCTTTTAATCACTCATCTGAAGTGTACAGTTTTCAGAAATGTCAGATAATGTCTTCACTGTGTTGCCGTAGTTTTTTAATAAAGTTAAATTGTATGTTTGTGCGTTACATGTGAGAGCTTACCTTCCACTGTGGATGTTCCGAGGAGGGATGCCGCTTCCTTTTCAAGTAAAAAAAAACAAAAACACTTCAAAATCAACCAAGAAAAGTGCGTAAAAGTAAGAGACGAATGCGTAAAACAAAACAGAAGTCGTCCTCTCGTTACGTCCAGTAGTTCTCTCACTTGCGCGTCGCTCTATTGTCGCTGCCTATCATTCGGGATACGGCTCTGGTGCGTCTTTGCAGTTTTCACGCGGATATAACTGGTCACTAGTGGGCAGGCGAGTGTGTGTGAGCGTGAGTGTGAGAGGGGATCCTAGCTGGAGTGCTGCTGGCGTTGCGTCCCTCCCCTGCCGAGGCGCTCGCTATTGAAACCCGCTCTTGATTGGATCCCAAACTTCTACTGGGCTACTTCTTGTTTCTACTTCAGTCGAGGAAAGCCTCCAGTGCGCTGAACCAGCCCACTTTTTTGTCTTTCAACACAAAACCTCAAGTCAATGCAGTCACTGGCGCTTTCTTTTCCTAGATACCACAATACGAGTAAGGCAAGTACACATATTTACGCTGCATTAGGGTAATCCCCGAATACTTTTTTTTTCCTATGATGCGCCCTTGAAATTATCACTTAGGGTAGCATGCATCGCCCTGTTACAGTCACGCAACCCTGCAGGCTAGATGTATGTTATGGCAAGTTTTATCACGGCCTTGATACCTGGTTGTGCAGCGAAATCATAATAGGAAGGAAGAAGCGAGAAGCGTGCGTTTAATGTGGCCTTGTTTAGGAAAGAATTGTATGGGAAATCCCCTGAGACATTGTAGTATTGTCTTGAAGCACAGAGAAAGCAAATATTGAGAGGAGATAAGAGCCCACTGACTTGAATGCAGACGGAATTGCACCCCCACTTTTATGGCAGGGAGTGGAGGGGGTCAGGGAGGAAAATCTGCATGCGCACTAAAGAAGGATGCTGCCGTTTCCTGCGCCTTTCTCTCTCCAGGTGGGGGACATTCACATGCACCACTTTCACACACCCCCCCCCCCAATCTGCTAAGAAGCTCGTGTGTTATTTGATATGGCTACTGCAGGATAAGAACGGACAGGTGACGTTGGTTTGAACGCAACACGTTTTGGTGATTAGTGCGTAAAATGCACGTTGAACAAAAGGCAAAGGAAAGAAAAGCTTTACTAATTTTTGGTAATTAGCAGATTTTCCTTTAGGGTGTACCTTCTGCAGTTGGCTCTGCATTGATGTGGCATTCAAGTAAACTGTATTTATTAAAGACTGACATCGGATTAGGCCTGTGTGTGTTTTTAATGTAGCCTACATCTGTTTTTGCATTGATCTGATAGATTATAATAGTTTAATAAATAGGACCACGTGTATGAAAACTTGCTCAAGACACAGCAAACTTAAGTCTGCTGCCAGTTTAAAAAAATATCTAAATGCTACAAGGTTAAGCAATTTATAAAGGATAAATAAGCACGTTTCAACCCAAGCACAAACTGTCAGAAAAGGCCTGGAGCGTCACCTTCTCGCAGTGTTAGTGCAACAGCGTCATCTAGCGTCCACCACGGATAAAATCAAGGTCATTCATTCTCCTCTCAGCTTTTTTTTTTTTCTCATAACTTTACTTGTCTGCATTTATGTACAGGATGAATCAGAGCAAGACACTTTCTGCATTGTAAGTCAGCAGAAGCGGTCTAGGTCCCTCCCGGTGCCATTAGTGTTTGTATAATGCTGCACATTGTTCTTAACTATTAGCGTGCCCTGGCCCATGTGTGGTAAGTGGTGTGGGTTGATTGTTTCCCCATCTACGGGATTAAAATAGCCGCTATTAGGACAAACTGTGAGAAAGGCATCCACTCTCGGGACATGTACATAGACAAAGAGTGACCCAGCTACAAGATTCAGAGTGGAAAATGTATCTCCGCGAGGGACAGTTTTTGTTCAGATGAATATAAGAGCTAATCCCTATGAGGCGTTTGACACAAAAAGAGGGAGGGATCAAAGCCTTTACACTGGCACAAATTAGCAGCCTTTATCTCCTCAGTTACACCCTGTGGTTCACCTGCCCGCTCCACATGCTGCCAGTGGAGAGGCACAGCAGGGGATCAACGAGGGGGTTGTATGTTACTATCATGTAAGGTAATGCTCTCATAAAATAATAATTATACTTCTGTTTTTAACTGCTATAATTTTTGACAAATACATTTTTATAGTGTCATAAAAGCATTTATTAATTAAATTTAACTGAATAATAAGTAGATTTAATGTCAATATCTGATTGTTCTGACTTGACATCACATTGTCTGTTGAAAAAACACTATATAAGATTTTGGTAGGTGCTTGTTTTATGGAGAGGTTATTTTTTGCTTATAATGTTACATAGGCTGGCATTTAGGCCAGCAGGACACACCAGGTCAAGCTTCAGATCAGATCTATAGAGAGGTACCCCTGTCTGTTTTTTTTTTTTTTGTTTTTTTTTGAGAAATACCCTTAATTAAATAAATGCTATATATACATTTAATAATTATGTTGTTGAATATTCCAGGCAAAGCAAACACATCCCCTTGGCAGAGGTGTGGACTTGCAAGTCGTGACTTGGACTCGAGTTAGACTTGAGGCACTATTTTTGAGACTTGAGACTTGACTTGATAAAATGGACTAAGACTTGGGACTCAACTTGGACTTGAAAGTCAGTGAATTGTGACTTGAGGCCTGTGAATTGAGAAGACTTGAGATCCTTCTCCTGAAAAAATATATTTTTAGAAAATACTTTTCTCTTTACAGCTGATAAATGCAATTTTACAGGAACAAACTGGAACATGTCCCTCCCACTTCTCTGTTTGTTACTTTGGATGTAACTGAGGTATTGTGATGTGGTATCCTCAAATGTACTACAGTAACATACAGTACAACACAGTAATATGCAGTAAAACAAAAACTACAAAAACATGATCCTTCCATTTCAGTGGAGACTACCTAACAACATAACTGTTATTTAGCACTGTTAAGTCTGAATTCTTTCTATTCTGACCGTAATGATTCACACTAAGGTCTTGTCAAGACATTTAAAAAGGAAAAATTTGCATTTCTACAACTCTTAAATAAATACTCAAAAATATACCATAGTTTTTAAGTACAATTTTGTTTAAAATTCATATAAATTGCAAAAATTTAAGATATATTTGGTTTAAAGACTTGAAATGACTTGAAGCTCAAAGCAGATGACTTGGACTTGACTTGGACTTATGGGCCAGTGACTCGAGACTCGACTTGGACTTGCCTGTATTTAATTTGGAACTTGACTTGATTTGAGTTCAAAGACTTGAGATTTATTTGAGACTTGCAAAACAACGACTTGGTTCCACCTGTGCCCCTTGGACATAAGTAGATGGATCTTCCATCAGAAATGTTACCTAACACACTTTTACTGTAAAGTTAAGAGAAGACTCTCAGCTGAGGCTCCAAAACACAAAACAATGAATCCAAATAGAAACTTGTATTTTCTTAATATACATATATTAGCAACATCTGCCTCTGGTTAAGCCACAGTTATGGAGTGTGCGCACCATTAACGCAAACATTATGGTAATTGGATGTATCTGTTGCATTTGTGTGATGTCAGTGTTTACGTAGCACTGGTAAACACAGTGTGAAAGACTGTTCACATCTGATGAACTAAACAAAGTCTACCGAGTCCCTTCTGGTAACATGTGTGTTTATATGTGCAGACCATTACTGGAACTAGAGCAAGAATTTGCACTGGGCTGGACAATGCAAATCACACTCCATGGACACTGTCAGAATCTGGTTTACAAGCCAATCAAGGAACAAAATGTGGATCTATTTCATTTCAGGGAGAGGAAAATCAAGCAACATCACCACAGCAACACACAAACAATGGGCAAAAGTCCTCAGGATATAGGCCTGTGAGCAAGAAGCTGAAACCTACGCATAACTCATCACTCAAATAACAGACTGTGTAGAATCATGTCGACTTGAACAAACCTTGTCTCATCAATCTGGTTCATGTTTCGTCTATTACCTAACATTTTGTCCCTATTGTGCAGTTATTGTGTGAGTGAGTCTCAGCTGCAGTGTCATATTTTACAGCGTCATGTTTCGTTTGTGTGCGTGTCTGTGTGCGTGTGTGTGTAGGCGATACATAATAAACATGTTGAAAATGAAGATGTCACTTATATTGTAGGAGAGGTGGGGGAATGTTTCACATCTCCCAATGGAACAGGTCTCTCTTCTTGTTTCTTACTTTAGATTTGTAAAGCCATTTAAGCTAAAATCCAGAAAAAGTTATCCCATGAATGAATCCGCCTTTCCTTACCAGCGAGAAGGTCTGTCTCTGAACACACAATACCAGCCTTTAACCTGCCATTTAACTCATATTTAATCTAGAATCTTGAGCTCCATTTTCCCACAGTTTTTTGACAGTCCTCTTCTTCACAAATGCTCATCTGGGAGGAGTGCCGTTATCTCTGAGTGACAGTGAAGGCATCCTGGCTGAGCTATAGGGAGGACCCACAGGAGGCGAGGGTTCAAGGGAAAGAATGAGGGAGGCAGGATGGAGGAGAGGAAGTCAACCTGTGTGAGCTAATTCTACCACTATTTTACCCCAAGGCCTTCAGTGCACACAGCTGTTAGCCTGCACTTGAGATAAGCGCAGAAGGAGTCACTGGTTTCTCTGATAGACAAAAAAGACTGTATGAAGATTCCAGCTGGTAGAGTTAGATTTGTTTAGCAAGTCTCCAAATCTCCCTCCCTGCTCTCTATAATTACTTGTTATTATTAAATTTTGTGCGATTTTATATTAAAATAAAAGACCTAATTAGATAATATAAATGAGACAGTGCGATGGATTGATAGTGGTAAAGCAGGATGTTGGGGTTAGGAAGGGGAAGACTTGCAAATCATGGTTTTGTCTGTTTTGATGTGACAAGGACATAAAAAATCCCGTATCCACAATTGAAACCAGACCTATGAAGAAGACATGAGTGAGAGGCGAATGCCATATCAGCCTCTTACTTCCTCCAATTAACCAATTAGAGAGCAGCAGTGACCATGAATTTACCCACAATCCCCAGGGAGAGCAGTTTCCCTTTTACGCAGAAGTCTGTGCAGAGCTTTTTACTGAAACTTTAGACCACAGGAGCTTCAGGCAGGGTGGGGGGTAAACATACTTTCATCACTCTACTGCAGATGATGGAGATGCAAAAGATTTTTGAACCATTTGGCCATTTTTTTTGTCAAACTTTAT